ATACTTTGCCACTCTACAATCACTACATAAAAATTATCTGAATAAATACAACCTGACAAAAATCATTTATCTTATTTAATAAAAATTCTATTATGCAAAAAGCAATAAAAAGTAAAATAAAATTGATTAATTATTCTTTTTCTAAATAATTTTATTTAATTGTCATAACTATATGGTGGCAATTATTTAAATTTAGCTTATAAGGCTAAGTTAATGTGGAAAATTGCAAATGATAAAGCTAACAAAAACGGATTAAGGAGTACTTTTTATTCTGTTAATAAAGATGAATATACCGGAGAATGGAAAAATAACAAACGGCATGGTAACATCTTCAATAGTTAATATATAGGTCGTGGGACATATAAATGGAACTCGAAAGGTCTTATGTATGAAGGTGATTGGATCAATGGGAAGCGTCACGGCTTTGGAGTTTTAAGTGTTATAGGCGAGGACATGAAACATAGAAAAATATATGCTGGTTCATGGAAAAATGACATGCGAGATGTAAGTCCTTACAATTATTACAAATAGGGTTTTGGGGAAAATTGTTATTCAGATAAAGAGTTTTACGAAGGTGAATGGACCAAAGATCTGCGATCTGGTTGGGGAAGAATGTATTGCAAAGATGGATCCATATATGAAGGAAGGTGGCGTGAAGATAAGAGATGCGGTGATGGAATGCTGAGATTGCGTAGGATATATTTTCCTTTATATACATAGCAAACGAAAATAGATTTGAGGGTAGTTGGCTAAATGACATGAAGAATGGCAGGGGAAAATTTTTTTTCCTTAATTCTGGCCAAATGATGGAGGGTGTCTGGGTAAACGATATTCCAAAATGCTGCCAAATGACTGATATAGGGCGCGAGCAGGCATCAAGACCAACAGAATTTCCCATACCAGAGGTAACTTTTATAGAATTTTGTTGATCAATTAGTTTGTATTTTATTTTTCTTATTTTTTCCACAAATAAATATAAATTAATCTTGATATGAAAATAAGCTTAACATATACCTAGATTTTAAATCCAATAATTTAAAACAGTTTTAGAATGGGAAATATTTTATTTGCATTTTAAATAATACCCTTCTATGATCAACCACAATAAGCTTATTAACTATTATTAATAATGCCATAATTATTGAGACAAATTTTCTGCTTAA